TTTTATTTTAGTTCTCATTTGTTTTAAACTGCAAAACTTTTCTTTAAGGATTCCGAAACAATTTTCAACTCTAACGCGGTATTGGCTGTTTCTTTTATTGAATTTGTTTTGTTGTTCAATATTCATTAAAGAAGAATTGGTGCGATATGGCGTTATCAAATGTTTAGTCAACTGGTACGCAGAGTCGCCTGCAAACCATTCTTCTCCAGTAAATAAGCACGCGCTGTTTGTTGCAATATGCGATTTCTTAAATATTTTAGAATCATGGTAGCTTCCCGGATTACCCACTAATGCGTGCATGATGCGGAGCTTATGATCACATACAACTTGCAATTTAATAGAATATATTCGTTGACGAGAAAAGTATGCCTCATGGTTATTGCTAGGTTTTTCGGCCAGCTTTATCTCACTTCCATCAATATAACCAATACAGAATGGTAACTCACTGAACGTATGAGCAATAAGTTGCCTACGCTCAGTCGCATTAGGCCATTGAATGTATACCGGTAATTTCTTCAAAATTGCTGAAAATACTCTCTGGGTAATTGTAGTCAGAGTGCCACCATCTCTCGCTCCAAAAATTGTCGCGATTTTTCGCACTGATGTACTTTCTCCTGAAGAGCCTAAACGGAATAGTACTATCGCGAGTTGAAAATCCACGGGCAGTTGTATATTGGATCCTGGACCTTTGAATATTATATCATTTGCAAATATTTCAACAAGACGAGCAAATTGACTCTTGTTGACACGTAACATTTGCAAAAATCGTCCTTCGTCGAAACAACATAAAATATTATCTCGCCAATGAATGGATTTTGGCACACTTAGTTCATCCCCTCGTCGATAAAATGTGATTGTTCTTACATCTTCCAGTAGTTCATCCATTCTTTCATCAATGAGAGCGTACCATTGATCGAAGTGTGCTGTGTCTATAAATGGAAAAACTTTGATTTTTGCAACTATGAAGCTTTAAAACACATACCTTCGTTAAATTCAAGATCTTTAATAGCTGCATTTATTTTGAAGTCTATAATTTGATTTTCTATACTCTTTTTAGGCATTTTGTCTTGATTTTGAAATTTAAATTTCTTTGTACTTACGACAAAAACAAAGAACAACTGGTTGTATAAAAATAACCAGATAACCTACATAAATATCTGTTCACGGTGCACACAGGTTCTTTTTCATTTTATCATCACATAACCCGATAACCAGTGCCCCGTGAACACCCTAATAGTTAATATTTCAATTCATTTATAAAATAAAACATGTTAACTTTTCAACAAATTTGATCAATCAAGTGTAAGGTGTATACATCATATTATTAACTTTATTTAGAAATGCAGCACTGTGGTCAGCTCTCATTTTGAAAATTTTTAAACGGTTTACAGTTTACGATTTTTAGTTTGTTGCGCTATTTTCAGTATTCTGTAGCGATCGTTTAATATTGCTTTAAAAGTGCAATTTTAGGTTTTAATATATTTTGTGTTGTAGTAAATATTGTAAACTTAAACTGTATACAGTGGTGAATATTGATTTCAAGTAAAGGAGCAACGTGCTGTGTGATCAAAGTAATGGCATCCAAAATTGATGAAAAAAATAATGACATTCCAGAGCGTCTTTACGATTCCAGCAGCCGTACCACATATACTCGTAAACGATTTTTTGGCAAGGTAATTTTTCCTGCAAAAAAGGAATTGTGAATATGTATATTGCAGTTCATTAACAGATATATACACAACCATTATAAAAAAAATGGTCCTTTTATATATTCCTTATTTAATTTTATATTTCAGGGCGGGTTTGCTAAATGTTATGAAATAATTGATGTTGAAAGTAATGATGTTTATGCAGGCAAAATAGTTTCAAAAAAACTCATGATGAAGCATAACCAAAAAGAAAAAATGACGCAGGAAATAACAATACATCGAAGCCTTAACCATAATAATATCGTGAAATTTCACGGATATTTTGAAGATAGCTATAATATTTATATAGTTTTAGAATTATGCAAAAAAAGGGTATTTGAAATTATTTAAACAACTGCAATAAAATGTGTGCTAATGTAGCCTTTATATACAATATGTTTTCAGTCAATGATGGAACTTCATAAGCGTAGAAAAACTATTACAGAATATGAGTGCCGGTACTATATATATCAAATAATACAAGGAGTGAAATATTTACATGAAAACCGAATCATCCATCGCGATTTGAAACTTGGTAACTTGTTTCTAGATGATCTTCTACATGTTAAAATTGGCGATTTTGGTTTAGCAACACGAATTGAATATGAAGGTGAGCGTAAAAAAACGCTGTGCGGCACACCAAATTATATTGCACCTGAAATACTGACAAAAAAAGGCCATTCTTTTGAAGTTGATATTTGGTCTATTGGATGTGTTATGTATACATTGCTTGTTGGTCAGCCACCCTTTGAAACAAAAACGTTAAAAGATACTTATTCCAAAATAAAAAAATGTGAATATAGGTAATTAAATGTAGTAATCTATTTGAAAAGTATTAATAATTGGTATACAGAGTTCCAAGTTATTTGCGGAAATCTGCAGCTGATATGGTGATTGCAATGCTTCAATCCAACCCCGATAATCGTCCTTGTATTACTGATTTATTACGTTTCGAATTTCTGAGCAGTTCTCCAGTGCCAATGTCATTGCCTAGTTCATGCCTCACCATGGCTCCACGTCTTGGAGCAAATGAAATTATTGATACAGAATCAATGCAACGCAAACCATTGATTGAATCAAACCGATTACGCGATGAAACACGTTTAGAATCGACATTTTTAAAAAAAAATTTGCATGATGCTATAACTGCATCTGCACAAGTTTGTCGTCATAGTGAAGATTATCGAAGTGACGTCGAAAGCTTATATCAACAATTAACCAATTTAATAAACGCTAAGGTAATTTATAAAATATTTTAAATAAATTGGTACTAGTTTTTATGTATTTAATAAAAAGCCAATTCTTTTGGATGGAAATTTGGGAGACGAAAATACTGATCCTGCTGCTCAACCCTTATTTTGGATATCGAAATGGGTTGATTATAGCGATAAATATGGTTTCGGATATCAGCTTTGTGATGAAGGAATTGGAGTTATGTTTAACGATACTACTAAACTTATTTTATTACCTAATCAAATGTAAGTATTAATTAACCTTTAATGTGTAAAACAATATATTTTAGATAAGATATAAATTAGTTTTCACTTTTACAAGATACATTTATATTTATATTTTATATTTTTTTAAATATACGTCCTGAAATCATTTATATTTTAATGTGCAACTTAGTCTTTTTTTTTTTTTGCACATATAATGTATTGTTGAAAATATGTTTTCCGAAAGCAATCACTTTGTCCTTTCATGCACTTTCAAAGAGAATTGTATCCAAAAAATTAATTATAGAGTGTCGTAACCTAATCTTTTTCCACCAATTTGGATTTCACTGCAAACACTATACTATAGATCATGTACACAAAATTAAAACATATTTCTTACCCAATGATACTTGAAGAATAAAACTCAATTATGTGATTTTTATTACCCACAAACGGTACTAGGCACGTAAAACCCCGTATGCTAATACTGCAAAATATCTTGGCTTTTAACTCTTAGTAATAAGCATAGACAGAAAAATCACATAGAAACAAAGTTAAATTAACTTAAAATTATAAAAACTTTAAAACAAAGATCAAAACTTTTCATATATATTATACAATTGAACTCTAAAGCTAATATGCTCTTATGGTGCACAAATTTAGGGTTGTGCCACCTAAAGGAACCAGTTATAATTAAATATACAAAGGATTATATAATTTTTACTAGTCCTTATAATTGGTACCGGTCGTCATAAGTGATAATATAATTTAAATAAATAAAAATAGAAATATAAAAGTATGTATGTTTTATAAATAATTTACATTTACATATTAGATACAAAAAATCCTCGTGTTTTGCAAATGCTTTTTAGTTAACATTGGTTTTTTGTCTGGTACGTCTGCGTACAGTACTGGAATCCACGCCTTGTTTAAGCTCGTATACGATCTTTAAGAGGGGCTTCACCCAAATAAACCGTTTTAACGGAATATGTCAAGTTATATTTTCTTATAAGCCGCGAAACAATTAAATAATTAATTTTAAATATTTTGGCTATTTTATTTGAACACATCCTTTTAAAGATTTTTTAATTCTTGCTTCTTTAAGATTCAAATTAAGCGTGTTGCGAGCAATGAGAAAAACATCCATTAATGATTTAATATTGAGCTATTCTGTGTTTACGTTTGAATTTGCTTAAAAACATAAAATACAGCATCAAAATGCAAAAAACCAAAATAATATCTTGTTAGATTGCACTTTGGTCATAGATCTTGACATTGATCTTGTCTCAGTTGCTATTGTGTTGCACAGCTGCATATCGCAATATTTCGTTATGTTTGTGAATTATTAAACCCGTTATGAAGAATTGTAGTTTTTGTTGTTTTTTTATGGTAGCTAATACTATAACAAATAAAACTGTGTTTTAATTTTTAAATGAAAAATAAAAAAGATAAAAAACTTATTTATTTGAGGTGATCATTTTGGTTGCTTTTGTTTTGTACAACACTGTAAGTTATTCACATAAATCATTTTGGAATTCGTATGAAATTCCAAACTAGAAATAAACATTATATTGTGGTGGCTATCTCGATTATTGTTGCATTTATGATAGATTTGTATGCCGCCACAGTTTGTAGTTGTTTTCGTATACCATACAATTTTCTCCACTAATTCAACTTCTATTTGTTACTGTAGATGCATGTTCCCAGTGTACCTACAGTGGCTCACAGCTTATTTCGTGCAAGCAATATTTTTGTAGATTTAGTCGTGAAAATCCAAAATTTTGTCTAAAATAAAAAATTTTAAATATGCAACTTTAAAGAATGTTTAGTTATTATTAAAAAACAAACAAAAAATTTAGCAAAAATATCAATATTCAAGGAGTTAAGTGAACAAAAACAAACATACACCAAATTCTGACCTCACAGCTTATTTCGTGCAATACATTTTTTTTAGAAAATTAATAATTTTTGGCATAAAAAAGTGAATTTTAGTATTTAGTGGGATAGTCCTTTTGTTTAATTACTGCCTCCAACCTTGAACGCATTGAAATAACTAATTTTTGAGTATATTCCACTGATATTTTTTGCCATTCCAATTTTAAAGCAGCTTTCATACTTTCCTTGCTATAAATGTTATGTTTTTTTATGTTAATTTCCAGAATATGTCATAAATTTGCTATGACACTAAAGTCAGGTGATTGGGGAGGTGTTTGGATGATGTGTGGACAATTCCCAACAAGCCAAGTCTGCACAAGACCCGACTTGTGCTTCAGATCGTTATCCTGGTAAAAACAGAAATTGTTAATTATGCCTAAATATTCGGCACTTTTATGCAAATTTTGCTTTAATATATTAAGATACACTTCTTTATCCATTGTTGATTCTATAAATTGTAGATTACCTACTCCTGCCGCTGATTTACACCCCAATACTCTCACATGCACATTAATACATCAAAATGAAAAATTTTGAAATTTTTAAGTTCACTAAACTATTTTTTTAAGATTATTAGGAAATTTTCAAGAAACTCGTTGTTGGAATGGTGTATACTACTTCATCAATGTAGTAATGACTACTTCATCAACAGAGCACAGTCGTTTAACTAATTATTGTGTTTTGCGCGTAATTTTTAACCGATGTTGCTCATCAATATCTTATTAAAAAGATATTTAAAAGATCTACCAAATACTTGTTGAAATAAGTAACAAAGATATTAAATGACCTTGAATTGAAAAATTTCTATTTTTGGTACTGAAAACCCAACTTCGCTCAAGTGGCGCCGTTTGATTTTTAATCCTATTGGTACAAAACTTTAGGAGTATCTTTTTTTTTGGTCCATGGGAAAATCCCTGGGGGGTGCGCTCATTCAAAACTTAATTTTTAATTTTCCCCCTTGTAACGTGAGCCACCCTATTGCAGCACCTTCTTGTAAGTAGCGCATGAGGTCTCATGAGCCTCAGCTCCGCACTCTTGTTCACGAGCATAAGCTCATGTATAACTTAATAGCAGTTCTTGCTCACGAGCGTGAGCTCAGCAATTGTGTTCGCTCGTGAGCGTGAGTCATAGTATGAAAAATGCTTTTTACCGGCTTATAAGCCGTGAGCTAAATGAGTCGATAATATCTGCTACCTGTGTCGTTGTGACTCTCTAGATATGTTACTAAAATCATACCTTGTGATTTGTACGCAATAAAAATGGTTAACCAGAAACTGTGTTTTAAGTTGATGATGCAAAATACTTTTGCTATGGTTGCATGCATTTTCTATTGTATTATAATTGCTTACTACTTTGCACTAGAGATATAAGATTAATTAGCCTCAAATATATTTATGTGATAAGATGTGCTTAATAAATCATTTGCTAAACTCTGATACGACTTTTGACATTTGTTTGACTATGTAATCGTGTCTTCTTTTCTTCAGAATTTATAAAAATCAAAAAAATGTTTTGCATTTTCAATAAAATCAAATTAAAAATTAAAAACAAAATTTCTTGTGCAAACTCGATCAAATTGTTACAAAGCGTCTATGGCGGTTCATGTATGTCTAAACTAATGAGTGGTATAAAAAGGGTCGATCATAAATGTCGCCCATTCAAATCAATTACCGAAGAAAATAGCGAGTTGCTAAAGAAAATAGTGAAAAAGTTGGAAAATCATGTGTGATTGTGCGAAAAGTAGCAGAGCACTTAAACATCTCGAAAGACATTACAACATCTGTGAAAAACATTAAATACTGAAAAGTTATAAAAATCATAGTTTTACATATTTTTGTTGTACATTAATTATATAATATACAGTTTTTGTCCAATCTACAAATAGATTTGAAGTGTTCTATTTACCAGTGAAGTGTTCGGCGATTGCAGTGACTGATTGGCAGACACATTTCCTCCTTTTATAATTATAGATCATTTGCCGTTGTAATATCACATTTGCTGAGTACCACTATAGGAAAACTGGATCCATACAGCCGATTTTATGAGTTCAACAGATTTTTATTCTTACTGAAGAACATTCTGACACACTGTTGCTTTCATATTATAATTATTGTTAGGGGATGTGGCACAGCGACCGTCGGGTCTATTGTGCCCCCTTCTGGGTTTAGAGTAGGTCTCTAAACATACTTTTTAAAAAAAAAGACTAACCTACTAACTACTAAATCCCACAAATACTTTTATGTTTGTGTGACTGGAGGATCTGTACTATAAAAGTTTCTGAAGCAATTGCTTTTTATAGTAGCGTATTTTTATCTAATATTTTTTTCCACCCGTCACATGCAACAACAAATTCTGCAATTACTTATCGTTTCAAAATTATTATCGATGTATTTTTTGTCTTTTTATTAAAGTATTTATTTTTATTTTCCGGAAATTTTATTGGAATTTTTTATTTATTTCTCGTTGTATATATCCAGCATGTCAAAAACTTGTTTACACATTCAAAAAAAAATTAAATTTTTCAACTTATCAATCAAAAAAATACAACTTTTTGTTTGAACTCATGTGTTTTTTATTTTAAATATTTGTTCATTAGTATATTAAAAATATATATAAAAAAATTCACAAAATGATCGAAAAAACAACAAAATTTAATACATAAAACTATTGCATATCATAAGAAATTTTTAGTATTTAGTATGACCACCTTTTGTAGTACCAGATATTGTATCTATATTTTTTTGCTTACATAAATACTGACAATCTCAATATTTTCAAATTTTTTTATTATTATATTCAATAATTTTGAAATGTATTAGCAATAATTTATAGTTTTGTTTTTTAAGAATTTTAACTTTTATTTCGAGGTATATTAGGAATTCTTCTGATGAAGGAACAAGCGAATTTGACAAAATAAAATAAAATTCTTATAAAAACAAAACCTACTTTAAAATAGTTTCAACGTAACAACTCAAAAATAAAAACAAAACTACATTAATGATATATTGGTTTATATTTAGAAAAAATATATTTATTAATTACTGTTTAATTTATTATTATATAAAACTTGCATTTTTATAGTTTATTATAAAAATAAACTCAAGTTTTTAA